CCCGCACAACATGATCTACTCGACCACCATTATGGTTACCGCCAAAAAAAAAAACCGGAGGTAAAAAAAAAAACGGTAACCTGGTTGCCGAGTTCACGAAGTGAATTGGCTTGTTTTACAACGTCTTTGCCAAGAGACGAAAACCCAATCCCGATGGCAAACACCGGGGGGGGCGGCTTGTTTTACAACGTCGTTGCCAAGCGACGAAAACCCAACCCCGATGGTAAACACCGGGGGGGACGGGGGGGGTTCTTTTGCAAACCCGTGGTAAGATGTTCGGTGAGGGGTGTCTTCCTTCCCCGCAATTTAGGAAACCCCTGCCGCGACTGAAATAAGGTTGTAAGCACCCTAGCGGCACCTCTTCCCTCGTAACGCCACCCGCAATGTATGTTTAATGTCTGTCGGCGCTTGTTGTGCACCTTCGACGCTACTACATGCCCTACCCCAAAATGTCTCTAACGAGGTTCTCTGCGTCACACTTGCCAAGAACGCCGACGTGCCTATTCGGCAGCAACACCATTGTTTCGCTGGGGATCGCGACGATCCTTGCCTTTGGGTACACGGGATGGCGCCAATCATATGCATTGTTCAAGGGTCAGAGGAAGGAGGCTGTAACAACAATGCTTGGCTTTGTTGCGAACCCGTTGCGTTCGCGCCCTACGCGCGCACGCATTCCGGTTTCGCAGGAGACGTTCAAGACCGTTCGCTCAGCACCTGAACGAGCACAAGCCGACAGGCCCCAGCGTTGTCGGCGGGCTTAAAAAGAGTCAACTACAGTGCCTACTTCCAAAACCAAGTTCTCCACGACTTCCGACCAAAAGGTTCAGATTTCCCGGGGGCATCGCAGTTTGTAGTCGCGACAATGTACAAGTTGCTTGCACCCGGTCAACCCTTATCGCGCAAAGTATCAAGGTGTACGCTACGAAGTAGCCTAAACTGGAAGGAGTGGACCGAGTGAATATTATACAAAGAAGGGCAGTTCAACGGATCCTGCATGTGGCAGTTGAACAGGGCATGCAGCAAGTTGACCGACTACGTAGATCATGTCCGTGCCGCTGTTGTGGACATACACCAAACTTTTTTCTTGCCCCCAAAGCAGACGAACATTGAGCGTGCGCATGCAAAGGTGCGCTGCCCGCCGTTCGTTATACTCACCGTTGCACAGTGTCCCCCACCGCTCGCGCGGTGTTGCTATCTTGCAGTGCTTCCTCCCCTCCGAGGCCTAGTAGCGCTCTGCTTTTCTTGCTTAGCTCCGGCAAAACGTCGCGTTCCTTCAACTGCAGGACGTCCAGTAGCGCCGCTAGGTCCTGTTTCATGTTTTTATTGCTATCTGCAGTATTCGAGTCCTCCGCTGTCAAGGCTGAAAGAGCACCACTGTTCCTTCGTCGAGAGTTCAAGCTGCCAGTGATGACGCTTTGATAGGGTTCTCGGCATGCAGAACCAGAGGCAGCAGGAGGCTGATGACCGCTGCTGCTGCTGTCGAGCGCTAGCGACGAGTATAGTGACCATCGTGAGTCACGATGACTGCTGCTGTTTGTCTCTTGACGTCTCCATCGACACCTCAACGAAAGCTGTCCCGTGGCAAAAGAATTACTCTTATGGAGGACGGGGGCAGCAGGCTGCCATGCTGCTATGAGCATGCTCCTCGTGTGGGCGGTGCTCTATGGTGGGATGAGGGGGCGCAAAACACGCGGCGCAATTACGATGTTGTAGCATTTTCCGAACAGAGAACTAAACCCGTTCAGTGCAGAGCCGAGCGCCGAAAAGCCGCCGAGCCTGCCCATGAGTCTGCCTGGGCGCCTGCCATCCGGCCAGCTTCCTGCGCAGAGCCAGACAGAGAGGGACACAGCATTCGGTCTAGCAGAGTCCCTGCTTCTCATTGTGTAGTGTGGGAGAGAGGAGTGCCCGTCGCTTGTTCGACATTTATAACGAGAAGCAGCTCGTCTGGTTTGAATTTCAAACCACCCCTGAGCGGACGGCCCCGTATCTCCGACTCGTGTCCGAGAGCGCGATGGACGAAGCAGCAGCGGGCAAGCACGAGGGTAACATCCAAGAGTTTTTGGCGAAGCTGGAAGCTCGGTTCAAGGGGATACGCTGTTACCTCGGGCAGTATGTATCCCCGAAACCCTTTCCATCCGGTGAGAGTCCGTTTCCCGCCAGGAAGCATCATTTTCGCCAAATGCGGGTGCGGCATTTGAGACTGCATGCATCACACGGCAGTGGTAGGAGTTCCTCCGGCGAACAAACTCCCGACATTCATCGTAAGTCTACATAAATTGTTTCAAGCTTTTGAGATGAGCTTTTTGCTGATCACGCTGTACTCCAGACTAGCGCAGCAATTCCTTCGTGTTTTCAAGTGTCTCCGTTCGGCATCATCCACATGAAGCAGTACTAGGTATGGGGGGGTAGTGAGCCGCGTGGTGCGACTCAATACCTTGCAGTAGTCTATCTGCGATGCTGTGCGAAGTACGGTGTGTGGTAGAGGACAACATCAGCGTACATGCAAGTAATTTGCCACATACAGTAGACGTTGACGTTGAGGAGCCGTGTACGTCAATGGGAAACCTTCGTGTGGATATAAATATACGTAAATACATTATCATTCAAACGCATGGAAATTTAAATGCATGCTACTCTTGTGACAGCAGAAAAACGTACATCCATGACGTGGCACTCTTTCTCGGATGCTTGATGTAAAAACAATGACTTTGCATGAGTGGTTCAAGAGATGAACATTACAGCAGTAGTCTCGATTTCGCTCAGCACTATGTCTACATGAAGGGTAGTCAATGACAATAGTCAACACTTTGTATATCCCAATACGCCATGGTGGTTATCTGACGAGATAGTCCAATCGAGGTTTGAAAACAGGTCAAGGTGGGGTGCTATCTGATGTCCGCACGACCTAGTTTACTACACACAGACTACATACACATACCGCACATATACACGCGTAGATCTACATACATACACATGATTTCTATTGACTTATTGACCCCTCGGGGCAAGATTATTTGAGTGTACCTTTGTAGGGTAAGTTCACCTGTGACCGCGGGAATCGACCGCGTCGAGTGTTGGATCAGTACGGACATACGAAGGTACTGGGTAGAGAGCGCTCGGAACGGTATTTTAATGTAAAGACAACAACGACAACAACAACAACAACATACACACACATTTTGTAACATAGGGGCTTTGTTGGAGATGAGGGTAACTATTGGAGCCATGAGCACTATCAATCACACGGTGTGTTGGGTACAGCGGTAGTAGCCGTGGTGGTGCTGCTTACAGCGGTAGTAGTACTGCTGTAGCACATCGTGGTTGTGTTCACCATTATCATTAATCCACCATACTTGCAGAAACACCGAAAATGGTGTGCAAATGATTAGTCTACAACAGATTGGCGCAAGACATGGAAACTCCCTCGACCGAAGGTTCATGAAAACTTACAGATGGGGGACAAAGCGATCATGGAACAGCAGCAGAGCGAGAAGCCACGCCCACGCAGAAGTGTGCATCATCGGTAGTGTTGCGAGGTGCACCAGGTACAGGCGTGCGACGGTGCGATGGGTGCCGGGGGGGCGTGCGGAGCGGCGAGTTCCTTGGCGTTTACTGTGATGTCACTGGCGCAGATTTGTGGCTTGAGTGGTTACAGGTGAGGAAGAGGTAAAGTTCCTCTCCTGTCCAACCTTTTGAGGCTGTTCCGTGTTGTACATCTTAGTGTTCGTCTGTTAGTAATCTCGTGTCGCATGTCTGGCACGAACTCTACAGGGTGCTGTTTGTTGGAGCCGGTATGTTGATCTCTCGGCCGCCCGGCGTCTCCTCTCTGTTCGCAGTAATGGTGTCGACATCTGTCTCCGTTCATATTTCAACGCGGGCCGCACGGCAACACTGTCGTGATTGTCAAAATGGTGTCGACATCTGTCTCGGCTCATCTTTCAGCGCGGGCCGCACATACATGCGGCCTGCAATGTGTGTGGGCCGCTGTGTGTGGACTGCAAAGCGACCAGAATCTGCTGGGCATACCCCTGGGGATCGTTTAGATGAAGACAGCGTGAAACACAGCGTGCCTCGGTTGCAGCACACGTCGACGTAGCTGAACCCTGCAATAAAACGCAATTATACGCAAGTCATGGAGCAACGACACACTCGCAGACTTCATCATGCTTGTAATAATTGTTCCAGGAAAAACAATCAATCTGGAGATAGATGTGAATTCTCAGGGTTTCGTCTCGTTTCGTCTCCTCCACGTCAACCCAAAATACCAACCTCCTTTCAATACGGACATAGGCTATCCAACCATTCGCCTATGGCGTCCTCCGTCTCTTTCTCCTCATATTCCGCCATCATTTCCATGTCATGCAGGAACAAATCTGCGCCGCGTTCCTCCTGTCTGTGCAGTTCGCCCCCTACACCGCCCTCCCAAGCTTTCGTCTGCAAGATCCAGTCCAAATGCTCGAGGCTCTCCTGGACAGTCATCGACTTCAGACGAGCCTGTTGTATGGCGCGCACCCTGTCTATCTCGTATTGCTGTTGCTGCTGAAGGGTGTGCTCCATCCCGCGCAACCTGTCTACCTCCCACTGCTGTATCTCATAATGAGCGCTCTGATGAGCTTCTATCTTGTTAATCAAGCGGCGCACCCTCGCCAGCCGCTGGGAGGTGGTAAGCCGTTGGCAGGTGGTCGTGCTCGTGAGGCTACGAAGGAAGTCGTTGATGGTGTTTTTCCACAAGTAATGGAGGTCCAAGGAAGGGCACACGAAATCGACCGTGTCTAGTGCCTCTTGGTCGTCATAGTCCTGACACAAGGCACAGGGGAAAAAAGGGGAACAAATCAACATCGATCGGGTGCTCTCATCTCTCGTGGATCGATGGGGTACTGTATTCTCTCCTGGTTGAATGTGTGTCGCAAACTGTCTCCGCTCACATCTCAGCCACGTCGCAAGCCGCGAGACTTGTACAGCAGTCAATCAAGTGCATTTTTTGTGGATCGATTTATGCAAAGAGCATTCGACGTAACTCAACCTTGCAAGCACGTGAATACCACTTACCGTTTGAGTGCCAATCCTGCGCTTTGTGGTTGCCTCTCGATTTCCCCGGAACTTTGTCTCTCGCCCGCTGGTTCATGTAGGTGTGGGTAGGGCGCGGGCTGGGGTCTCGACGCTCCCTCCCTCGCTGCTGTTGTCCTCCCGGCGGTAGCTATGTTGTTCTCCTTCCGATGAAGTTTTGTCACAGCGTAGTCCCAGCGGTGACTACGTTTGCTGTTGTCGCGTATCCTTGTTTCTTGTCCTGGTTTGAATCGCGCGCTTGCACGATCTCCGCTTTTGAATACACGCCTTTTCGCGTAGAAACCCCGGGGTTGAGGAGCACAATCTCCTACGAATTTAGGCTACATATGCCGGTGAAGCACGGCCATCTGCTCTCGGAGCACGACGAAACTAGTGTGATGAAGAGCGCGCTATTTTTCTTGTTCATCAGAAGCGAACAGATCGTCAATCGGTGCCCTGTAGATGTCGTGATGATTCCAAAGGTGTGATATTTCGGCTTCACCGTAATCAAGTTTTGGGGCCCCTGTATCGCGCGGCGCAACTTTGGCCGATATATAGAGCCTTTATTTCCCTCCTGGGAACGAAGGGAAAAAATGTCGCTCGCTTCGCTCGCTCCGCGGCTCATTATCATCTAACTCCGTCTGGTGCCCCCATCAACACTCTGCAGAACGTCGAACCATCTACTTCAAGTTGATCTGTGATTCATGGCTGTCTTGAAACTACTTTTTGAGCACGACGAAAAACATATCTCTTCTGTCCGTCGTCCTTGTAGTCCTGTAGGGTTTTCTTTTGTTTGGTGACGCGCCACACTACATACTGTACTCGGTTGAGATGTGGGCAACCAAGGGGGACAAAACCCCGCCTGATGCTGGCCGGTCGTTCGTAGTCTGCTCCTGCTCGTACAATCGCGAAACATGCATTCAGTCCCAGAGCGAAGCTTCTGGCCGACGTGCCTCACGGTCGGCCGTCCAACTGAAACAACATCGACGAAGGAAGCACACGAAGAGAGAGCGGTCGACCGACTGCTGCTGTAAATCTTCTTCGTTCGCTGCCCACCCCATCGTGCGCTGTCTGCACCAGGGCCCGAGTCTGGCAAGAGCGGCAACGCCAGCGATAGTGGCAGCAGCAGCAGCAGCAACCCCGTCGTCGGCAGCGTGGTTGTTACGCTAGAGCCACCCAACAGGCTCGTGCTCGGAGCTTTGCTCGACCGTGGGCTTGGTCAGGGATGGGAGTATTGGGAAGGAGAGTTTGGGCCTTTGGAGCTGGCATCACACGTGAGGGGATTTGCTATGTGGTGTGTTGTGGTGACGGTGACGACTGGCGTCTTAATTTCGGCGTGCGTACATCTTGTAGCGTTCTTTTTTCGTCTGCTCAGAAGCTGCGAACGCTAAGTGAGGATCGTACGAAGGCGTGCTGTATTCCTGAACCCTCCGAGCGGCGGGGTTAAAAATGCAAGGAGAGGTCGTGGATGGTTTTGAGAGCAAACCCGTGGAAGTTGTCGGAAAAGCTGCCGCCTCGACAAAGCTCCGACTCCAAGGGCAGAGCTTGTGCGCCGCATGGGTATTGTGGCGGCGCACAGCAGCAGCAGCAGCTGAATGAGAACATTTCGGGACCCGGATATTTCCCCGCCGAAATTCGCTCGTCGACGCGTGTGGTTGTCCCTACGTTGTTGCCCCGCAAAGTCAACAAGAACAGCTAAAATGCCGAGAAGCGGCCCATACGAACGTGCACCGTGGTCAACTACCCCGTGTACCCGTCACGCTCTTGCTGCACGTCTGCGGCAATACCCAATTCGACGCGTTTTCAGCGAGACAGCTTGGGGTGGGACGGCCACAGCCTCGAGGCCCTCGCGGACTGCTTCGCCGGCGCCGTCGAAGCGACGAAACTGCCCCTGCCAGAAGAAAATCGACCTTGCTCTGAGGGCGCGCTCGCCGTCGCGGACGAACACCAGCAACGGCCTCCCGAGTTTTCCAGCACCGCCGGCGTGGTTGAGACTGATCGTACAGGCGAGGAGGAACCAGATTCTGGTGTTGGTGGTGGTGTTGGTTCTGGTGATGGTGATGGTGGTAGCGCTACCGGTACCCTGGACCTCCACTACGCACGTGCTGGCATCGTCGGGTCTTGGGAGGTTTCGCGGGTGCAGACCGGCGTTTCCGTGGCTCTGATGCACAGGTGCGGATGCGCATGTCCTTGACTGCTTACTTGATCGACCCTCTTGGACACCGAGGCTTCGTCCTTCGCGGTGCATCCCACCGCCGCCTCGCGAAGGCATGGTCGCTATGCTAAAGGGGGCCCCGAAGCGGAGGCAGTTTCCCCCGATAGCAGGGGCGGTTTGCACGTTCATTAGAAGCTGTCGCTGTTGGGTGTTTTGTCTTTTGTCTGCGCGTTGCACGGCGATTGTTTCTTTCTCCGGTTGTTTCGCCGGACACGGCCAACGTTGAGCCCACGCCCGTCGTTGTGCCTCTCAACCCCCCCCCCCGCGTTGCAGTACGATGGTTCTTACATCATCTTTAGGACCTCCTGTCGGATGTTGTCGCTTCGATGTACAGTATTGTACTCTACCGTTCCCGCTTTGTTCCGCACAATAAGACGTTGGCCGAACCGACCGAAAGATTACCGTTTCGGAGTGTACTCCGTCTGTGTGTGGGAGTTTCGACGGCTCAGCATTGCGAGATAGCTACGGCTACATTCCTCATACATGCACCACCGTCGCCGAATCCGCAGCCAGTGTAAATTCCGGTTGTTCCAGTCAGTGTAGCTCTACCTTGAACACACTCCGTTATTCGCAGTCTCCGGCAGGCTTCACGCAGTCTTCACCGTAAGGGCTTCAACGCACCCCCTTGGGAAGACCATCTTGCTGGGTTGTCCTTTTTGTCATGTGTTAGCTTTCGTGGCTTATATTTTGCGAGGAACCCTTCCCTCCTTTGCCGCGATCATTCGAACTAAGAACACCGCACCTCTGTCGCTCTCCCCTTGTCCCAGCATGCACAGGAGCATTCGTGCCGCATGCGGGCGGCAACTTGCGGACACCGCCAAACCTCCCGCGTCTTCCTCGGGCAGCGCCGACGCGGGGTTGTCGCGAGCGAAAGCATCAGGAGCCCCCAAGTTCAAGAGAAAAAGGTGAGGCAGCCAGCCAGCCAGCCAGCCAGCCAGCCAGCCAGCCACTCGCGGGCGTTCACAAACACGCCTGTCTGCCGTGGCTGGATCATGTTCGCCTCGGCAATAAATACAATGCTTCTCTTTTCGTTCTGTTCCCCCTAGCCCCCACGAGTTAACGTCTCAACTGACGTGATGGTGTGCCCTCGGGCGCCTCAGCGTTCACCCCCCTCTGTTGGTGTGCGGCAGCTTCGTCGGAGAACGAAGGTTGACTCAAGACTTACGGAGTGACAAGCATGGGCGGGAGGCAAGAGGAGACCCGCGCATCATACCCGTAGTGACCCCTGGAGGCCCGGTAGATCAATGCTCTGCTGAGCACCTCCAACATCCAAACCCTGTTTTTTTTTTTCGGCGGCTTCGCTTGCAAAGCAGGGTTGCCGCGACAGGCGCAAAGTTGGCGGGTGCTAGCCCCTCGGCCGAGGCGTGAACGGCGATGGGCCGATAACAGGTCCTCCAGACCCTCGTTGTGACGGTTTGGAGCAAGTTCGACCGCCTCCTATCCCCTCGCGAAAATTCGGGAGCCAAAGGTTAATTCTGCCGGGGAAGTAGGAATGAGTGACGAAAGGAAAGTCTTCTGGGCGGCTTCCCGAAACAAGCACTGCTGTGTTGAATTCGGCACGGCACCCGCCGGCTCAACTTTCGTCGAGATGATGGACTCTGGACACAGGATTCGGGTTCAATACTAACCCGATTGTGCAAAACAAACATTGTCCACGGTAGCGATCTCGGGAGCGAGCACTGAAAAATTGCGTTGTACTTGCGTGGGACTTGATTCTTGGATCGGGTCGGCGCTGGCAGCGGGGTAAAGTAGAGGGCACCGGCAACCGAAGTACCACGGATAATTCACTGCTGGAAGACGATTACTGCTCTTTAGGGAAGGCTACTTACGAGGTTGCGGCTCCGTATCGTCGTGAAGAGCAACGGTCACCGATGACCCCAAGCACTAGGGTATGCATAAAGCGTCGTGAAGAACAAGGGTCGACGACCCAGCACCTGGGTGTATGCACTGTAAGAGGGTGGCTTCTTTGGGACGCGGTTGTTGCTTAAAAGGTTGCGGCTCCGTAGCATCGGGAGTAGAGATGGGATGGGCGCGGAAAAACGAATCGCAGGAAAGTATAGAAGGGACTTCGTTGGAAGCATGGTGGCGTGCAAGAACGGCAGAGTGAGACGACCAAGGAAATGTTTCATGACGCCGTGTACTTTCTTTTTTCTTCCAAGCATGGCACCGATTCCTACAGCCCTCTATTGTACCGACTTTTGAGGGTCGTGAGGGGGATGGGGGGCACCGCAGACTTGGTTTCTATGTACGCGAAAAGGGATGGAAGCCTCACGTGCCTTGGTGAAAGCCAAGCTCGATAGCTCTTTCAACCAACGGCTTGGTGTGGCCCTGGGGTCACGGTGTGGTGGCGCTTGTCACCAACACCCAAATATGAGCTTTTTACCCAACGGCTCCCGCGGGGGTTGGGTGGTGTCCATCACAGGGAGGGCCGGATATACATGCACACCGTTCAGCAACAGGCTACAGGCTGCTACCGACTTCCCACGACTCCAGACGTGATCGTTCCGTGCGGACCCGGAGAGACGAGGTTTCTCCGTGGCATTCCTGGCCGGCAGGCTCCAAAAATATTGCGCATCATTCAGAGTTCCCATGCTACAAGGTTTTTGTCTGTACTACTGGCGACGAGGCAGTCCAAAAATCAAAGATAGATGGGGTTGTTGGTGCATTAGCTTTTGCATCCGAGACTACGGCTTCAAAGGTTTGGGCGGGTGAGATGGGTCGCTGACCCACACGTCAAAGAGGCAGCAGCGTCAGCTGCGCTCTTTGTCGAAAGCTACAAACCGGAACCTGAACATTGTCACCGTTGTTGTTGTTGTATTCACATCAGAACCGTTCTGGTTTCCACTCAGTACCTTGTAACATGTGTACACTGGCAACTGACTCGGACGCCTTCCGTGGTCACGGGCCAACTACCCGAAAAGGGGTACACCGTTCCTCAAATCACAGAGCCGAAATAAAATGGACCCCAAACCTAACATCCACACTCGATAATAGCATCAGAAAAACTAAGCCAAAAAATGGAACATAAACACAGGAGTCAGGAAGGCCCCATCTAACGAAAAACCAAATGTACGAGAGATAGGGATGGATGGGGGTGGAGTGTATTCGCCGCCGTGGGAGGTTGCACCGACCGAGCCAATCCTCACACGACCATCCAAAAAACGCTTCGTGTGGGTGAATTCAACAGTCACCCCACCCAAAACAGACAAATACAAACGAAAGACTGAGACGACGGCACCATCACATCGGGGGCACTGCGATGGGGTCTATTAGCGATACGATGAAGTTGAGCCATGCGCCCGCCTGGCATTCCTGCCCCCTCCTGCATCATCCGTCCGGAGCATGTCTCGCTACGCGTTCAGCCATCCCCGTCCTGCTCTCTTCAATTTCAGTCGTTCCTTCGACTGGCTCTTTCGATGTTTCTCCCCGCTTACTTCCCCCTCTGCTCGGTTGTCGTTTCGATCGTCTGTCCGGATTTTACCTTGTTCTGTTTCTCCTGCTGGCCTCTGCTTGTTTCTCTTTATGGAAGGAGAAACCGTCGCACAACCGTTCCCCGACGTCGACTTTGTTCGGTGAAACTCAGGACTAATGATAAGGAAACTCAACATGACGCAACAAATGAAGGACCCGGCAAGCACCACCTACCATGGAACATACCGTAAAACCACCCCCTCCTGCTGCTCTTGCCTCGATCTTCCAAACCTACAACTGGAACGCTGAATACAAATACGAGGGAGGGAGAAACTATCGGCCATCAACCAGCCGTTCCCCCGAAGACTTTGTTGCGTAATCTCAAAAAGTGAAAAAAGAGCAGGGCCCAACATGCATCCCACGGCGCCAAAACCAGATTCCCAACGGCCATGGAACCACCCTTTCCGGGATGCCACCCTTCTTGGGACGCATCGTCCAAGGTGTGGGCGAGAGATCCGTCAAAGTGCATGCATACAAATCTACAAACCAAACAAAAAATAACAATGATGAGTAAAATGATGAGCCACACCCGTTTCAAAGGGCGCTTCGGTCGATCCAAACATGGTTCGTTGATTCTCGTCGAAATCAAACGCTTGCTCGGTGAAGGGTCGATTTTTTATACCCTCAAAGACTTGCCCCACGACAGGCCTAGGTCATGTACCATAAAAGTCGAACACTCCGTCCTGGGACAATAGACCCCGTCATTAACATCATGCTTGTAACTCTGCGAAAGTCGAAACGCAAAGACTACGCCAACCCCCGCCCGCCTTCGTCTAGTTCTGCGATTGTCGAAACGCAAAGGGCGGTGCCAACCCCCGCCCGCCTTCCAGCGCGTGTCCGACTGTCCGCTTCCTGTTACCGAATCGCCGCAAACGCCGAAGCCACGAGGGGTCCCAGAGCCCCGGCGCCCACCCGCACCGCCGACATGGCTGTGAAGCCCGCCCCCACCAAGACCACCCCCTGCATGACCCTGTCCAGCCCTTTTCTCCGGCGGATGCCTCTGAAGGTGATCCCTTCCTTCTGCAGGTAAGCGATGGTGTTCGGCGCGAAGATCCTGGGCAGAGCGTTGTGGAACACCGAGTCCAAGATAAGCGGGAGGATGAACCCGAAGAACCCGGCGACTCCCGTGCGGTCGAAGCCTCGGGAGAGCTCCACGAGGTCTTTCGCCTCCGGCGCGCGGCGGCGGGAGTAGAGCGGCAGGGCCGCCGCGAGGTCGTCTCCGGTCTCTTCGAGGCATCTTCTCGTGTGGACACGGTTTACGAAAGAGAGGGGCACGACGGTTAGCGTTAGGGGGGGGGGTACTCATGTTTTACATGCCGTAGTCATTGACCTCGCATCCCTACAAAGCCGGGACGGAGCACGCCGGGTTCTCACCGGACCAGGCTCTCACATCACCAAGCGCGAAGCGCCGTGAGATATTCGGCGAGTCGCATGAAGGGTGCGCTGCATCCTGCTAAGGGTGTTCGGCATCTTGTGCTTACTTCCTTGCGTACGGATGACAGCTGCGTATGAATTAATTTATTTTCTGGTGCTTTCACTTCCAGAGACAGTTGTAAGCACTGTGTAACTGCCTCGAGGGTGCTTGACCATTTTAACACAACGTGGTGCGATCATCCCCCTTGCGCGGAGTGAGGGTTCACCCCGCACAAACATGATCTACTCGACCACCATTATGGCTACCGCCAAAAAAAAAAAACGGAGGAAAAAAAAAAAAACGGTAACCTGGTTGCCGAGTTCACGAAGTGAATTGGCTTGTTTTACAACGTCGTTGCCAAGCGACGAAAACCCAATCCCGATGGCAAACACCGGGGGGGGCGGCTTGTTTTACAACGTCGTTGCCAAGCGACGAAAACCCAACCCCGATGGCAAACACCGGGGGGGGTGGCTTGTTTTACAACGTCGTTGCCAAGCGACGAAAACCCAACCCCGATGGCAAACACCGGGGGGGGGTTAGCGTTAGGGGGGGGGGCACTCATGTTTTACATGCCTGACCGGATAGATTATTGACCACGCGGCCTCGAGAGGACGGGCATAGGGGGGGGCGTACTCTTGTGTGTTGCATGCCTTAGCGGTTAGACTATTGACCACGTGCCCTCGAGAGGACGGAGCATTGTTCCCAGAGGACCGATCACCGACGGCAAATCGTTCTTTGCTCCTTTGCCAAAGGTGGCTCAAAAATGTCGTCCCTAGTCTGTCTATCCTAACGGTATCACTTCCCGCCTTTTCAAACCACTTCCTATGCCGCAGTACAGCTACCGTCTTCTAGCTATTCCATGCCTCAAACATCTACCCGAATCTTCCCTCTACTTTTCCCAGCTCAGTCATGTACACTTCCCTCCCCATCTTGTATAACGGATATCCCGCAACTACATGAACCCGGTCTTCGCGCTCGGAGCCGCATTCACATTTGTACTTGCCTTCATCGTCTACCTTCCTAATCTTTGTCTACGTTGTCGAAGGCCAATATCTTGGGTCCTAAATTTGACCTTCAGCTTTGTCCCTGCATCCATCGGTCCATGTAGGTACTCCTTGAACCCTATTCCCTCTTTCAACATTGCGTACACATCTAGACCCTCCTGATCTTGTTCTCCTCGGCAAAAGCAACAAATATCTTCGCCTTGAACCCCCTCTACACCATATATGGGGGGGGGGGTACTTATAGTCGTGCATGCCGTAGTCGTAAGACCATTGACCTCGCATCCTTACAAANGGTTCTCACCGGACCATGCTCTCACATCACCAAGCGCGAAGCGCCGTGAGATATTCGGCGAGTCGCACGAAGGGTATGCTGCATCCTGCTAAGGGTGTTCGGCATCTTGTGCTTACTTCCTTGCATACGAATGACAGCTGCGTATGACTTAATGGGGAGGGGCGTAGTTTGAGATCTTTGTGACACTTGTCCGCCACGGATAGTCGGTTGTGAGTTCTGGACGGTAGTTGGGGCGAATCTTGCAGGCTTGATCCAGTTCCATTTTTCGATGTCAAAGGGAGAGAATCCCCCCCCCCCCCCCCCCCCCCCCCCCCCCCCCCCCCCCCCC